GATCTTGCTAAATCTCGTCACTTGAAAGGATAACAGCTATAAGCACATAGCAGAGTGAGAAATATTATACTGTGAGTATAGAACACAAAATAGCCATGGATAGTTATTTAAGCTAAAACATTAACATAATTTAAGTTGTATAAATAAATTATTTAAGTGGCAGAAACTGAAATAAAAATTATGTAAATAACTATAATCACGGTACAGAATAGAACAGAACAAGGGTCGCTAGAGTGACAATCAGGATAGGGGTCAATGGATTCATGACAAACAGAGTACCACAAAGTGGCCAAACAAGGGCCAAGAATTATTTAAGTCTCCCAAGGCATGGACTCCCGTGGTGATATAGAAAATAATTGTTTACAAAATCATTTTCAAGTAACTATTAAAAGTTAAACAGACATATCCATGGGTTTCAATTTAAGTAAATAGAGTTCAGAAAATAATCTACGTAATTTAAACATTAACTTAACCATAAAATATAAATTATACAAATAAATTGTGATAACTCAAAACATTCGTAAAATATATTATGGTAACTTAAGACATATTTAAACATGTTTTGGTAACTCAAAGTATAATATAACTCACATTTAATATAAATTTATCCCTATTTTTCCTGTGCTACCGAACCTCCTGTGCTATTCCTTCTACTACTCTTTTCGTTGATTGACATCCTTGCTTCTACTATAACGCCCTATTTATATGCTTCAATTGTTGGAGCTCAAGTTGATTACGTGTTCTCAGAAGGCGCCACCTGGCCTGACCTTTGACTCTTACCTCACCAATTGTCCAAAGGTCATCTAATTCATTGGCTCTAGGAGATTAGGGTTGGCTTCTTATAATTCTACGGGTTGTCGCCCTCTTTGGTAATCCATAATGATCCCTAAAAAATTTGGTTAGTGTGTTCTAAAAACCTCACTGCCAAACTATAAAACATCATTTACCACTTCTTAATATTAAAAATACGGTGTCCCGCAATCTACAAAGATTTCTAATATTTTAAAATTAATAACAGCTAACGTTGTAAATCACAAGCTTTTACTAAGCACTTTTGATATACTACGGAACTGTATTTATTTATTACTATTATTATTATTCTCTTATTTATTATTATTATTTTATATGAATACAATTATGGTAAAAAAAATCGGGTGTCACAAAAACACTCTATTAAAAGAATTAATGTTTTGAGTTTTTTTTTGAATTTTTTTTAGAGAAATATGATGGAGGGTTTGTGGCGATGTAAATATGTAAAGAATATAACTCCATGTTCATATTTAAAAATAAGAAAAAAAAATTATTGTCTATATTTTTTGTTAACAAAAAGTATTTTAATTGTTCTATTATAACATATCTCTCTCTCTTAACAGTAATACAGTAATACAGAGTACAGGGGCTGGCGGAAGCCAATACAGTAAATAAACAATATCCAATGAGCTGTGACAGTCTATATACAAAAAGACTTTTCATTCAAATATATACAGTCAGACAAAATAGTATGTACATATATACAATCATTCAGTTCAGGGACCTAATCCCTATTAAACAGTACAGTACGGTACACAAAACAGTTACAGAGACAGAAGGGGGAACTAAAACACCCCTAAACCGTAGCTTGACAGGCTCAGAACCTCGCATTGAGGCACATAGGCTAGCTCGACAAAACTGGAGTTTACCCCGACGCTTCTAGCTGCGGTCTGGTGCCTGTACACCTACATATATATATGAGCAGTGAGCTAAAGCCCAGTGAATAACACAATGCGTAAAGGGGTTAAGAATGAATGTCCTTACAGTAATGAAAACAGTTCATTAATTCAGTATTTCAGTCGTTCAGTCAGTACAGTCATATGTGGTACATCCATTAGCATAACAGTACAGTAAACAGTAGGTCTTAAAAGACCGAACAATAAATAATGGCCATTAATCAGTAACAGTAGTGGTTCCAACGAGGGAACCGACAGAGATCTCTGTAACAGTAACAGTAAACAGTAGGTGCTAAGGATGCCATAATACAATTCAGAATATAGGACATACATTTATTCAGTTAACAGTAATCAGTTCAGAAAGTAGTATAGTTCAATTGTTCAAAAGATAATCATTTTGAACATATCTTTACACAGTTGTTACTCACAGAGTTCCGGGCTACAGTAAAGCTAGAGTGCGTTCCCAGTCGCCAACCCTACACAGTTACAGATTGAATACACACTAAGCTACACAGTTGGGAAATAATAACTTAATCCCTAATTTGCCTCGGTGTGTTCTACATCTATATCCTCATTAAGATGTTTTAAACTAGGCCTAAAAATGCCTAGGATGGGATGAGGATGCAAAGATGCACTTTAAAAGCATTTTCAGAAAACAAGGGTCACGCTCGAGCGTAGGTTACTCCGCTTGAGCGGACATGCAGACAAAGGTTTCCGCTCGAGCGTAGACTTACTTGCTCGAGCGTTTTGCAAAACAGTCAAAAGTGCTAGATGGGTGAAAATCACGCTCGATTGGGCGCTCGATACCCGCTCGAGCATGAGACACAATGTCCTGCTCGAGCGTCAATTCTTCCGCTCGAGCGGACTTCAAAACAGAACAAAAATGCTGGGAGCACGATTTCCACGCTTGAGCACCAGTCACCCCGCTCGAGCGTGAGTTCAAATTCTGGAAATTCCAGATTTGAACCTCAAGCTCAAAACCAAGTTTTAAACGATAAATTTCGATCCTCTTGGGCCAATTTTCCAGAAAACACATCAAAACTCATACTTTAACATGATTCAAAGCTCAATTTGTAAAATCAAGGCCCAAGGGTGTTTCAAACAACTCAATTTGAAACCAATTTTCATGAATATGAAGAACATGTAAACATGCATGAATTTCAACCATTTCAAAGCTTTAAATACAAGCTCAAATGAGCTAACTCTTACAAAAACAAGATGAAAACATGAACTTAACATAACTATGAGCATGCATGTGACAATTCTCCATGGAATCAACTCAAAATTCAATAGTATAGGCATGCATGCATGGAATGAGCTCTTAATTCAATAACTTGAGCTAGTTCTAGGCTTAGGTCACTAAGAACACAAGAACCATGGATGAACATTCATAAACACAACAATAAAAGGTTGAATTTCCTTACCTAAGTCTTGAATTAGAGGTATGGAGGCTCAATGTTGCAAGAACTCCTTTAATCTTCTTAATTTCCAAGCAATTCTCTCAAGAACAAATCAATTCTCTCCCTCTCACTCTCTTGGTCGGTTGAGACAAGGAAAGGCTGATGGAAATGTTGATTCAATGTGTATACAAGTCTCAAAATGTGTAAGGTAGTGGCCACTAAGTGTGGCAAAATGGTAAATAAGTGTAACAATACAATTTAACTCATTTTAATCTAATTTAATCATACCTAATCAGTTTTCAGGTAATTATACCATAAAATCACATAAATCACGATGATCATAAAACACTAATCGGTTTCCGGTTCAACCGCCAATAAGGCCCTCAATTAGCAGTTTAAACACAAAGACCCGAACAGATCATCAAATAAAAAAACAGATAGAATTACAATTAAACAGGTATACTCAGTCAATTCAGTTTCAATTTCAGTCAGTCAGTTCAGTAGTTTATTCAGTTCACTTATCAGTCATAATCACTTTCAGTTTAACGGTAATCAGTGGTTATTCGGTAAACAGTGACGAGGGTTGTTACAGAATTTTTGTAAGAGACAATGGTTTAGACAAATCAAGAAAGATTTTCTTTTAAATTTCTTTATGAAAAATATAAATCATGAAATAATTAGTATTTTTATAATTATTATATTAACGTGTTAGCTAATAGCATTTTTTTAAGTTCAAAAATTCAAAAATTTAGTTGGAAGTTTTGGAGCTCTCAGAAGACTTTTTATGAAAAGTCATTTTACTATAATATATAATATAGATAGATGAAAGTAATTTAGATTATTAAATTATATTGAATATATATTATATACATAAGTAATACAATACAAAATATTACTTTTTATATATATATTTTAAATACTATTATAATTGCATATCTTTTACATTATATAAATTATTTGTTTGCATGTTATTAATGATTTTCTTAAAAAAATGTAAATATAATATAATTTTAACAAATTAATAGTTGGGGTATTTATTAGAAAATTATCTTTCAAGTGCTTAATCTCAATTAGTTCACAACATATTCTTTTATTCTAATAAATCATATTATTTAGATATTTGATCCACCAAATCCTAATTATCATATTTAAGGTATTTTAAAGAAATTTTACCCTTCCAAATTTTTCGAACTCTTAATAATTTAGTGATGTGAACATTTATATTTGACAGTGTGAATGTTCACATCAAAGAACATTCAACTATCAATGTAAACATTAATGCGTACTTCACCCTATTATCATTAGGGATATTGTAACTTGTCACTCATAGAATTTATTGAAACATAAAAAATTAATTTAGATTAAGGCCTCGTTTGAAAAATTGGCTATTTTAATAAGCTAAAATAGTTGTGTTTGGAAAGAGAAATAGATTTTTTTATAGTTAAATGTGATATTTGTGAGAGAAAAAATTAAATAATTATGAATTTGATGTGACATTTTATCCTATTAACTATTTTAACATATTTTATCTTTTTATAGATTTTAATAAAAAAAACCAAACCCAACTTGCCAAACACCCTCTAAATAAAACATAAATATCTAAAGAGAGATTTATAAATAAATGCTTCCTAATAATTTAATTAGATCAAAAGTTACAATTCGGAGTTGAGCAAACCTACGTAAGTCTCAACATAACTGGAACTGAGATTGTTCGAACCCGTGAACCTGTCCCAGTTGCACTTAATGTAAATAGTCAAAACCTCAAGGTATATCTACGTAATTTTCATTAAACTATTTTATTTTTTCAGCGGACGGGAAAATAAATTTAAACTCTGGTTTATAGAGCCGTTTGAGATCCATTACAATTCCCTCTCTCTCTCTCTCTCTCTCTCTCATCAAGTCTAGGCTCTCTTTGGCCCCCACGTTGTATATCGACAGATTTTCCACAGCAAAGAAAGAGAAATCTAGAGAGAGAAAGCGAAAGAGAAAGAAACTTCCCCCCCGAGAGACGAAGAATATCAGAACAAACGGACGGACGATTGTTGATACCCTAATTCGCCTAGGGCACCACACATCATCACAGCTCTGATCTGGTTTTTTTCGAAACCTTAGAAATCTCAAATCCTCAAGCTCTCTATTCGCTTCGTGTTTATTGTGAAACCCTAGGTTTATTGAATCGTTCGGGGGTTGTGCCCCATGCGATTGTGTTGTGGATTTTCATGCCGCCGGCGCCGGAACCAGTGCCTTGGGATCGGAAGGACTTCTTCAAGGAGAGGAAGCACGAGAGGTCGTCGGACTCCTTAGGGTCTGTGTCCAGATGGAGAGAGACTCCTCACCACCGCGAGTTCCGCAGCAGACCTCCAGGTGAGAATTTTAAGCTCCAAATCTAGGGTTTTTCTGTTATTGGTTCTAAATCTAGGGTTTCATGCAATATCGTGATGTTGTTGCGGCGGTCGTCGAATCGTCAAATTTTGCAAGCCCTAGAAAAGCTAGATTCTTAAGGAATTGAGTTTTCGCTAAGCTTTTTGTTTCTCTTTCACTAAATACATATATATTATTGTGTTTCGAACGAATCTGTGGTTGTTTATGATGATTTGCGTAGGTAGTTCAGTTATTCTTCATTATAGTCTAGATCTGAGCTTTTCATTCCTGCAATGGGTATGTTGGAATTTGGGAAATTGTAGTTATGGTTTTTGGGGCTTTGATTTTTTTTTCTCCTTCCTTTTTCTTTCTTGATGTTGAAGGTCACGGAAAGCAGGGTAGTTGGCACATGTATCCTGAAGAATTTGGCCATGGGTTTACACCATCTCGGTCGAATGAGAAGAATCTGGATGACGTGGGCTGCCGGCCATCTGGGTCTCGTGGAGATGGAAATGCTGATGTGAATAGCAGGGAATATAGGGTGTCCTTCAGCCAGAAGGATTGGAAAGGTCACTCCTGGGAAAACGGAAATGGTTCATGGCCGTTTGCTCCTGGCGGGCCGCTTGACGTGAGTTATCAGAGGTCAGTCGATGATATGTTAACATACAATTCTCATCCTCATTCTGACTTTGTAAACACATGGGAACAACTTAACTTTAAAGATCAGCATGATAAGATAGGTAGTGTCAATGGGTTGGGCACAGGCCAGAGATTTGACAGAGAAAATTCGATGGGATCGATCGATTGGAAGCCTCTTAAATGGACTCGTTCAGGGAGCATGTCGTCGCGGGGTTCGGGATTCAGTCATTCAAGCAGCTCAAAGAGCATGGGAGTGGATTCTGGAGAAGCGAAAGTTGAGGTGCAGGTCAGGAATGTTACCCCTGTGCAGTCCCCTTCAGGGGATGCTGTTGGGTGTGCGACATCAGCTGCTCCATCGGAAGAAGCAAGTTCCAGGAAGAAGCCTCGGCTTGGCTGGGGTGAGGGGCTGGCTAAGTATGAGAAGAAGAAAGTTGAAGGCCCTGATGATAGTGCAACCAAACATGGAATGGTTGTTTGTGGTAACATAGAAACTTTGCATTCTCATATCTTAAATTTGTCTGATAAAAGCCCTAGAGTTACAGGATTATCAGACTGTGCTTCCCCTGCTACGCCCTCGTCGGTTGCTTGCAGTTCCTCACCAGGTAAAATGCAGATTTCAACCTAGTTCTTTCGTCAATTTTTTGTTTTATCTGCATGATTGGAAGGAGAAAGTTTATAGAATTATTCCAAAACTCAGATTAATTGAATTATCAGATTCGTGATACATTTAACCAAACTGGATTGTTATTATACTGTACAATATGTAATATCCAAGGAACTAAATCTCGTTTCATTTCCAGTGGAATGGATGAAATACTTCCGATTCCTAGAAAACTGACATGAAACACTAATGGACATCTAAAGTTCTAGTGTTCACTGAAACACATTGAAACACTACAATATATTTTGAAACCATAAGTTGTTTTTACAACTTTTATGAATATCTAAGTAGATTTATTTCTTAAAAGGGTGACCTAATGCTAAAGTAGGATCGGGTGAGGATAAGATGTACACAATCTTACCCCATTTTGGAAGAGATTGTTTCCAAGAAAGAGAGAGAGAGAGAGAGAGAGAGTTGAAGAGAAATGGGCATAGTTGAGGCACTAATTATTTTTTATTGTCAATATCTTTTTTTCTTAAATAAATATTATCACTTGTTCTTTTCTTTTCTATTTATTTTTTTAAAATCATATTACTAGTAAAAGTTAGCATTTCTTGTGAGCTTTCTTCTCCAACTAACATTTAAATGTTTATTTTTTTAGGATTTTAGTCTTCCTTTTCTTTATGGGTAAAATGATGATTGATGAGTTGGAGAACTTATTCATGTGATTACACTAGTACTTTCTTTTACTAAAAACACACTTTTTTTCCTGCAAGATGGTGGTGTTATCACTTCTACTACTACGATCAGGATATGAAAATATCGGTTGAATGTTGTCATGTTTTTTGTCCTCTGTATTTGTTTTGCCAAAGTGCTTGAAATTAACTGTAGCAGATGAACCAAGGTTATCCTTCAGCTTCTCCTCTCCTTTAATATTGTAGTGGATTTAGATTTGGTTCCGATTCTTGTCATATTGTTTCTTTCAACATCTTGATGATAGGGCACATTGAATTTTATCACACCTTTGCCATGAAGTTCTCAAGTTTCAAGCCTTAAGGAACAATCCATAGTGCCAAATTTGTTTTATGGCGATTTTAAATGCCTTTATTCATAAGAAGTTAAGGTAATGTTTGCTAAAAATGGCATCATCTTTGTTTTAGATGAGCGTGCCCTGCAGCTCTTTATTAGGAGCATTACTTGGAGAAAAGGAATATGACCTGATAATGTTTGTAATTGGCTAGTCCGGATATAATTAATATTAATGGTGTTTCACAGAAATTGCATTCCTTATTCTGGATTTGGCTCAAACATATATTATAGGTCTTTGTGAGTAGGTCTATGTACTTCGATTTTCATGAGGGGTAATTTTATTAATAAAGAATTTATCTACTGGTCTTTCTATGCTCTAATTTTTTAACTGCTTTGACTTTCACGGACTATATGTTCATTATATTAGTTTTTCCAAATGTTTCATTTACTGAGCATCTGAGTTTTATCTTATTGTAATAGGGGAGGATAAACCATTTGCCAAGGCAGCGAATATTGATAATTATACTAGTAATTTAAGCAGTTCACCAAGGCTCTTTTCTCAGAATATTGTTGAGGGGACAGATTTTAATTTAGAGAATTTGGAGCTTACTCCAATTGCTAATTTAAGCTCCTCGATTGGTGAATTGCTTCAATTTGATGATCAAGGCTCAGTGGATTCTAGCTTTCTGAGATCAACTGCTATGAACAAGTTGCTGCTATGGAAGGGTGGCATTTCAAAGGCATTGGAGATGACTGAATCTGAAATTGATTTGCTTGAAAATGAATTGAAGTCGTTGATATCTAAGTCTGAAGACATTTGTCCTTGTCCGGCAGTAATCAGTTCTTTGCAAAGGGAATGTCGAGCAACACCTTGTGAAGAACTAGTTGTTACCACTGATGCGATTCCTCGACCTGCTCCCTTGCTGCTTGTTTCTTCTGGAGATATGATTGTGGAGAAGGCAGTTGGTGGCTTCAAAGAACATGGACAAGTTAAAGATGAGGATGTAGATAGTCCGGGCACTGTAACATTTAAATTTGTTGACCCACTTTCTTCAGCTGAGGCTGTTACCCTGTCTGAATCAGTGAAGCATGGTGAGAGCTCTGGTGATTTGGATGCTCGTAAATCTGGAAAGCAGGAGGTGAATGGTTCCAATGAGGAAAAGATTGAAGGCTTATCTGCTTGTGAGGGTGGTGGTCAACTGACAACTAGCAGGAGTTGTGCTGCTCCTGTTGTTACAAGTTTATGTCGCGACAGAGAGGACACATTGTATGATCTAATACTGGCGTCCAACAAAGATTCTGCAAATAGAGCTTCCGAAGTATTTAATAAGCTATTGCCATCTGGTCAATGTCATATTGATATTTTTAGAACCACCAGCATCTCCAGCTTGCAGAATGATCCACTGATTGAGGAAAAGTTTGCAAAGAGGAAGCGATTTTTAAGATTTAAGGAGAGAGTTATCACCCTCAAGTTTAGGGCATTTCAACACCTTTGGAAGGAAGATATGCGATTGCTTTCTATAAGGAAATATCGAGCAAAATCTCAGAAAAAAATGGAACTTTGTTCGCGTTCGCCGTATAATGGCTATCAAAAGCATCGGTCCTCCATTCGTTCTCGTTTTTCTTCTCCTGGTAAGAATAATCTTTCCTTACCTTTTTGTTTTTGTGTGTGTGTTAGCAGTTTATTTTGTTACCGTTGGGATTAACCATATCCAAGTTTAATCAATACCATAGTTGTCAAATCGGGATTCGAATCGTGAATCGAAATGGTATTGTACCGAATCGCGAATCGAATTGAATCGTGAATCGTAAAGATTCGGTCACCTTTTCTTAATTATATAGAAAATATATTTACACACTTAGATATTAAATATATCTAATAAATATGAAATATTTAGACACAAATCACCAAAAATATTGGCCTTGTTTGGTTTGTATTTGAGAAACATGTTTTGAGATAAAAAGTACGAAAATTTGTTTGGTTTGGTTTTTTATCAAAAGATGTTTTGAAAAATTATTTTGAGAGAGAGTTTTGGAAAAAGTGATTGATTTGATGTGTATGAGAGAGAGATTTGTTTGGAAAATTTGTAAACCAAACAAGTTTTGAAAAATTTTTTTGAAAAAATTTGTTTAGTTTGATTACTTTTGAAAACTTATTTGTAGAGAATTTTTTCCAAAATTTTTTGAGAAACACAAACCAAACAAGGCCATTGTTTTAAATGATGATCATGTGGTCTAAGTAAGAAATTTAAGAAGTTAACATTGATTCTAATGTTTACCACTTCACCTTTTTCCCTTTTAGATGCTATTTATTATCAACCGTTCTTAATGAAGAAAGCAAACGAAGAAAAACTTTCAATTTCCAAGTCACAATAACTCAAAAACAATGTTTTTAACTTTTTATAAGGTTAAAAAATCAAAATCTTCGGACTTTTTCAAAAATCTCACTTGATGCTTTCAAAAAATTTATGTTGTAAATGCAAGTATTTAGATAAAATTGAATATGTAAGTCTAGAATATTGTAGAGAGAGAAAGTTCTTCTCTTTTCCGCTAAAGTTTGAGTATTTGAGAGTGCGAAAGTTCTTCTTCTTTTTTCTGCTAAAGTTTGAGTATTTGAGAGTAAATAGGGAGGAAGAGAAAGTCAAAAGATGACATATAGTAATCCTAGAAACCTTAAAAAGGTTGTATGAACCCTTTTCTAACAATAAAAACTCAAAAAAGAAAGCCAAATATCAATTTTAGCAAATTGAATTGATTCACGATTCACCGATTCAATTCACCGATTCACCGACGATTCATAGCTATTTGCGATTCACACAACCTGTTCGAATCGATTACTTACTGAATCGAATCGAATCATACGATTCGAATCGCGAATCGTACGATTCTAATAACAGAGATCAATACCCTTCCAATCAGGTTCTTTCTGCTTGTGTTTCAGATTATAAAGGCTTTTATCCACTGGCTTTAGGTCTCTTTTATCTGTTTGGAAGTTTTTGTTTAAGCTTCCCATATCTTTCCCTCCTTTTTCCTGTTTAATATATATGCGTCCACAATTTCCTTTTTTAGACCAACATGATGACTTTATAGCATTTTTTGCCCCCTCCCCAATAAGTAAAACCAATCCACTTATTACTTTCATTTACATTATACTTTCTCATTTCATCTATACTTCTGAATTTTTTTTTTGGAACTTGTAAAGATTAGAAGTATTCAAGTTTCTAAGCAAGCTCCAACTGTGTGACTTACAATTTAAATGCATATTACACCTGGAATGCATTGTTTCATGGGTTCTTAATGCTGTGTTTGGATCACGGTTTTGTGTAGGGATTTGAAAAGGGAAAGGGGAAAGGAAAAAGGAAAAAGTGTGTGAATTGTAGCAATATTTTATTCACATTTTACCTACATTTTTTCTCTGTCTTTCCAAATCCCTACCCAAATTCATGAACAAAACACAGCCTGAAGAACTTCCAAATGTTCTTAGAAAAGGGTGAAAATGTATAGGGCTTGTTTGGTTTGTATCTCAAGATACAATTTTTGAGAAAAATTTTGTTTGGTTCAAGTTTTTTGAAAAAAAAAATTCAAAATCACTTTTTCTCTCTCCTCTCTCTTTCTTAATCACTCTCTCTCACACACATTTACTCAACTATAACAAAATATCACATCATTCCAAACTCCTAAACTCCAAAATTGTTTTCAAAACATACAACCAAACAAACCAAAAAAATTTCTAAACTCTCCCCAAATTTTTTTTTGAAAATTTATCTCAAAACACAAACCAAACTCACCCATAATTTTTCTATTGTCCTGATTCTACTCTTTCAAACATTGTCTTGGAATCTTGTGAACTCGGTGGAAACATTTTTTGTGTTAAATGATATTTTAGCAAATTACAGTACCCTGCTATGCTTCATTGCATTCTTAAATGCATTCCAATGTTACTACCCTTAAACATCATTATTGCAAATGCAATGATCCAATGGGGGACCATTACTAAATGCATTCCAATGTTACTGACCTTAAACGTCATTATTGCAAATACAATGATCCAGTTCAGGTCTTTTAGCAATTATTTTTTAATAAAAGAAACTGAGAAACTCAAAAGGCCAAAGAGAATAATGATCTTAGGTTGAAAAGATGAAAAAGTAGGTTGAAAAGATTGCCTTTGCAACTGTTTTGATAAGTAGTTTTCTTTATAGAGAGATGAAATTCATTCTCTAGAGTGATAAAGCTCTTAATGATAAAAGGGAAGATGCAAACGTTTTTTTTACCTGAAAGCTTATTTTGGAGAAAAAGGTTTTGATTCTTTAGGATTTGTTACTAACAAAATAATAAATAAACTGCCCCATCAATTTGCATAGTTTCTTTAGGATTTGTTAGAATATGAGGCTTGATTTACATAGTTATATTGAAGAAGGCTGACTTGAATAGATCTTCAAAATGCAAATTTTTTATATAGAAGCTCCAGTTATGTAAGTAATATTTTTTGATTTCGGAGGGATCAAGAATAGACTATGCTTGCTTGTGAAAGTTTTGTTTTTGGTCGGTGTCTAAATTTCCCTGCCGGGGGAAGATTCTTCTTTTGAACATGTCTCTACTGATTTTCTTGCAAGCCTTATTGTGAACTTATGTGATTGGAGTTTATGTTCCATGCCTTAATAACCTTCCATGCCTTAATAACCTTCAGGCAAATGGTTGCATCATTTCCTACGGCTTTGGAGATAATCATTCCATGCCATGCTACTGGACTGCATGGAAGGTGTTCATGTTGAGCTTCTTTTTTTTTTATGAATAACTCCTGCTATATGTCATTGTTTTTCTATAATGTTCCAACTTTGGTGAAGTAAATAATTTTCATGGGAGCATTTTTGAGGATTCCAATTTTACTTATAGAAGCTTTTTATTGGTGAAATACTTGCCGGTGTGTCCTGTGACATACAGAGGATTTATGATGTTTCAAGGAGCAAGGTCAGCGTCCAATTTACATGTTGATTTGTCGTGATGCATTTTATAGGAGACATGGGAATACATGTTGCAAACATGGTCTTCAGCGGAGTTTCAGTGAAACTTGCTGTTTTTATTATAATTTTATAAAAGGGTACACCAAGGGGGTGCAACCCATTTACAATAGACACTGTCAACTATACATCATAAACCTATTAAAGTTCTACAAATACCCAAAATTGAGTAAAAGAGTGATTAACTGTCCCAGAAAACAATATACAAAACAAAAAACAATTACTTTTGATTCTAGTTATAGGCTCCTCTTGCCCTTCAAAAGTTCTTGTATCAAGTGACACTCAATATAATTTCTTATACCATGGTCCTGCATTCTTTCTCATTGAACTGGTCTTTTAGTAGTGAATTTGTTTTTGGACAATGTGGTTAATATGGATCTAGATGCGCATACATGGGCATGATGGGCTTATCTGAATGGCCCCCTCCTGTAAAGGTTGAGGTAATGCTGCTGCCTGTGCAAGGTAGAGCATTTGTCAGAATTGAGTGTGTACAGTGTTAGAAAGAGAGTGAGCTGCAATATGCATTCTTCTTTTTCCCTTGTAGACTTTTCGGGAGAGTTTTTTTGTATGCATCTGGTGTACATAGTTTTTGCCCATTATTTATAAAAATAAGAAAGAGAGCAAGCTGGGATATACAAGAAGTTTTTGACCGATGAGATTTGAACAGCAAAGTGTACATGCATTCTTGCTTTCCTTTCCAAGGCTAAATGTTACAATGCTAGGCTAATTGAAGACTGAAAAACTGAAGAAATTTTTAGGTTAGCTGAGGGATGTTCCATGATGCATGGTATCACTCAAGAAATTTAGGTTAGCGGAGGGATGGTATCACTCATCTTCTATAGACGCTTCTTTGACTCCTGAAAATGTATTTGATTGTTGTTAATTGATGTTGCTAATTAATATTTCAGTTTAATCTTTATTAATGTTCACCTTCTGTAATTTAAATTTTGGCTGTGTATATATGTCTGCATAGCACTACCTTTTTACAGTGTTTCTAGATTTTAGTGTGATATGGAGTTAATTTTCTGCGTTGACTTTGTTTTGAATCTATGATCTACCTTTTCATGTTTTGATTCGGTTGGAATTTTCTTTGCAGGTGGGTATTTGAGCCTAGTTTCTACGACCGAGATCATTAATTTTACAAGTAAGCTGCTTTCAGATTCACAGGTCAAGCTTTGCAGGAATCACCTTAAAATGCCAGCCTTGATATTGGACAAGGGGTCGAGCTTCATTTCAAGTAATGGCTTAGTTGAAGATCCCTGTGCTGTTGAGAAGGAAAGGGCTACGATTAACCCTTGGACAACAGAAGAGAAGGACATTTTCATGGATAAACTTGCCACTTTTGGGAAAGACTTCGGAAAGATTGCTTCTTTTCTTGATCACAAGACAACTGCAGATTGCATTGTGTTCTACTATAAAAACCACAAGTCAGATTGTTTTGTTAAGATAAAGAAGTCGGAGTTTTCTAAGAAAGGAAAGTCCTGGTCTAATAATAACTACCTGGTCACATCAGGGAAACGGTGGAATCGTGATACAAATGCTGCATCCCTTGATATGTTGGGTGCTGCTTCAGCTATTGCAGCTAATGCCGATGATGGTATGGAAAATCAGCAGAAATGTACATCAAGGTTCTTAAGGGGGGTCACTAGTAATTATAGAGCATCACAAGGTGATGATGGCATGTTAGAGAGGTCGGGTAGTCTTGATATCTTCGGTAATGAAAGAGAAACTGTGGCTGCTGATGTCTTGGCAGGTATATATGGTGCAATATCGTCAGAAGCAATGAGTTCTTGCATCACAAGCTCTGTTGACCCAGGAGAGATCTACCGAGACCAGAAGTGGCAAAAGGTCGGTTCTTTGATGAGATGGCCTTTGACACCTGAGGTTACACAGAACGTCGACAACGATACTTGTTCAGATGAGAGTTGTGGGGAGATGATGGATCCTACTTACTGGACAGACCAGGAAAAGTCTATTTTCATACAGGCTGTGTCGTCTTATGGTAAAGATTTCACAATGATCTCAAGGTGTGTGAGAACAAAGTCCATGGATCAATGCAAGGCCTTTTTTAGCAAGGCTCGGAAGTGCCTTGGACTGGATACAATTGGTCCTAGGTCTGGCAATGAAGGAATGCCAAGAAATGATGATACTAATGACAGTGGGAGCGACAATGAAGACGCTTGTGTTATGGAGGCTGGTTCAGTTACTTGCAGTCAGAAATCGGGGTCTAAAATAGTCAAGGACATGATGCTCTCTGATTTGAATGTAAACCATTTTGAATCCGATCCTGCAGAGATCATGAACACACAGGCTGATATAAACAGATCAGAGAACAATGGGACAGGAGAAATTTATTGTGAAGATCCTGAGCTTCAGTCACAGAATATGGTTACTGATGAAAAGCAGGCAGAGGGTAAACCAAAGTCAGATTTTGATGGCATTATTAAGATGGAAAATAATGTCAATAGTGTTCTTGTGTCTCCGGATACTGAAGCTGGAGGAGATGAAGCTAATGCTGAGTGCACGACTGCTGGAGAATCATTATTGGCTAAAGAGGCCAATGATCATGGCATATCTGTGTCTGGTGCAGAGGGTGATGCCAAAGCTGTAGATCTGGAACTGGAGGGCCAACAAACGGCATCAGAGAACGATTTGAATGATAAGCAGGAGGAAAATGGGCATTCGAATACAAGTGGCCCGAGTGATTTAAATTGCTCTGACCAAGACTTGCATACGAACAAAAACGCTTCCATTCTTGCTGCAGATACAATTGCTCCTTTGGAATTTGATGTTGACCACAAACAAAAGAAGATTGCCCTGGAGTTAAATCCTCCACCAGAGCCTCATGCCATTTCCTTGGAGCACAATGTTTCTCTCGTAAATGTGAAAACTTTCAACACAGATGTGCCATTAAGACTGGATTTTGAAAAGGTCAGCGACAAGCCGTGTCAAAAATCAGCTGGTGTGGATGATTATAACCAGCATCAGTCTGGCCATTCTGTATTGGGGTGTACAGACTCCTCTCAGATTCTCAGGGGATATCCATTACAGGTGTCTATGAAGAAAGAGATGAATGGGGGTATTGATATTGATGTCGATTCCAAGAAACTGGCTCCACTTCAAAGCCTCTCGAAGATTGAAAGAAATTTCCATGCTGATGTGTATTTATCGCAGGAATGTTTTCTTCAGAAGTGTAACAGTTCAAAAGCACATAGTTCAGTAGCCCAGCTTCCATTCCTGTCCCAAGAACAAAAAAGCGATCATTCTAAACCCCCTTCATGGAGGAGTTCGTCAGGCACGGAAAAACCATCCAGGAATGGTGATGTGAAACTGTTTGGTCAGATTTTGACTCACCCGTCATCTCATCAAAAACAGAATGAAGATAAGGGGGTTCAAAATCCTAAGTTGAGCAGTCATAATTCGAACCCGTCATCTCATCAAAAACAGAATGAAGATAAGGGGGTTCAAAATCCTAAGTTGAGCAGTCATAATTCGAACCTGAAAATCAATGGTACAGATTCAAATTCAGTTCCAGCAAAGCTTGACCAGAATAATCATCTGGGAATTGAGAATGTGCCCACGAGGAGTTACGGCTTCTGGGATGGTCATAGAATACGGACTGGATTTTCGACTTTACCGGACTCGGGTATCTTATTGGCAAAATATCCGGCTGCCTTCAGTAATTACCCTACTTCGTCGTCTAACAAGGATCATCAGCAGCCATTGCATTTGGCCGTGAAGAGTAATGAATGCAATTCGAATGGTGTAACGGTTTTTTCTAACAGAGAGATAACTAGCAGCAATGGTGTGGCAGATTATCAGTTCTATAGGAGGAGCCAAGAGGGTGGTGCTAGAATGCAGCCATTTAAAGTCGATATGAAGCAGCGACGAGGAGAAATGTTGTTCTCGGAGATGCAAAGACGGAATGGGTACGAGGCTGTCTCGAGTATACAACAACAGGGTAGGGGTGGGATGGTTGGAATCAACGTTGTGGGGAGAGGGGGGATTCTTGTTGGCGGAGCGTGCACCACCAGTGGTGTTTCGGACCCTGTGGCAGCGATCAAAATGCATTATGTGAAATCCACCGAACAGTTTGGTGGTCAGACGGGTGGCATTATCAGAGAGGAGGAATCTTGGAGAGGTAAGGGGGATGTAGGGATGTAGAAATTTGGACTCTGCGGCAAATTGTTTATTTGTCGTCTTGTACAATAGTTTTTGTAACTTCATTTGCGGGAGCAAAATTGTTAGGGCAGTGGACGGGTTGGGTCTCCTGTATCCGTCATTTTTATTTTTTTTGGAATTTTAGATGGTTGCAATAGTTTAGTTCAGCTTTGTATTTGTTGTATTTGGTGGATAATACAGGAATAATCTGTCAAAGGTTTGGGTGGAGGTGAGCAAGCTGGGTTTATGTGCATTCAATCCCTTATTTCCTCCTATCTCTCTACACATTTGTTTTAAAAATAGCCTTTTTGCTGCATGTTTTTTCCCCATGTTTTTCTATTTCTATTTCTATTGGCATAACATCTAATCGTTTGATCGTGGTTGTTTCTTCGATTTTGTGTTTTCAGAAATAAAATAATAAAATTTCAAAAAAATAATTGATTATTTTCCTTTCATTTCTGTGCAATAAGTTTTGAAATTTTTTTCTGCCATGGGTCAAATCTAATTATAAACTGCTTTTCAATTGTACTACATACCTAGAAAAATTATTTCAAATATGTGGATAAGATTAGATTCATTTGACTTATAATCCGCAATACACTTCTATTGTAAAGTTAACTTCAAATCTTTAATCCACCATACACTTTCATCGTAAAATTAACTTTAAATCTATACTATGCAATTCACTATCATTATCATAATAAAATTGTAGGCAAGTTTTCATAGTACCTAGAATTATGTTTTTGCTTTTTCATCACCTGCTGGAAGTCACAAGTCATGTTCAAGTCCCAATTAATTCTTGGATAAATCAGAACATAAATCATGGATACAAGTATGTAATCTCCATTTGTATTATACATTGGAATATCAAAAATAAATGAAACAACAAAAAGATTTAAGTCAAGCCAGACAACCTACCGCATGTGCCGAAGCTCCATGGGGCTTGGGAATACGAGCATATCAGAAATCTACTTGCCATTATCTCCACCACTCAATTTCATTTCTTTGCTCTCTTCCTGCGTTCGGAGAACAGAGGGGAGAGGCGCAGCGATTCTAATCACCTGCAATAATAGTGAGAAATTTGCAAAAATCTTCAGCTTCACCAAACAATTTATGTAATAGCTTACAAGTATCAAGGAAATGATCGAAGAACTTGAAGAGCGGATCAAGAAATAAACACACATAGTTTACTAGCTTTTTGTACATTTGTTTTCTTGCTAAATCTATTTCGCTAGCAATGCAGTATTATTTCATCAATAGTGTTTTGATTGCACAACTCAAGTTCATATTACTACAACACCTAGCATTCTTTTGAGGACCTACTTGTTTCGACAGATTATCCAAAAGTTTTAGATGTTTCTTTATATTAGTAGATACACAAAAATACTTTTCTGCAGATAAATTCAAAATTTTAGATAAATGCTATTCGCCAGATTATTACTTTTACAGGTCAGTATCTGGTTTCAATCTGAGAAGAACAAAAATGAATGGCATTTATCTTTTTCAGGACAGTCAAAAGAATAATGAATTTGAATTGTGTCAATTCAAAATGATTATTCCCTTAGCTTTCATTATATGTGACATTTTACTGGACGTGAATATTTCATATAAATATTACAATATATATACACACATAAGCTGCAGTTCCATAAATGCGCTTCCCCTCATGGTTAGTAAATCATCCGGGGCAGAAGTTTAGAGACACCTGTATAGGTCTGAAGAGCATTATTATTAACATATGACACGCAAAGAAATCTCGTGAAAAATTCATGTTTTACTGTCATTTTCAGCAATCTGGTAAACAAAAGCATGCTTGAGAGTGGAGTTATAATTGGCATTCTAAAAGCTTATAATATTCGATACTTGTTACCTCACCTCACTCATGGTTGGATGAGACAGAACCAGTTGATGCGCATGCAAGTGGTACCCACAGTCTCCAGGAACAGGTTTCACAGGCCTCTGGTACCCTCTAAGCAAAGCATGAAACGAAGTCAAATCAAGATAGAGAAGAGAGTCAAAGAAGGTACCTAACAAATTTGAAATTATGCGAGGTTGAGATAATTCTGACAAGTAAAGCAGTACCATTAATACTTAAACCCGCAAAATCTCAAATGTTTGAAATAGAAGAATCACAGGAACTGATGAATAAATAACATGACATCACTGTACTCTTTCAGAATGAAAGCAGGGTGTTATAGGAAAAGTTCTTTGAAATTAGCATTTTTGTAAAAAAATGACTTGTTTTCAAAATTACAGAATTGTCTATGTAATTTGTTCAATGTCTGAAAGTGCACAAGGTAGTTTGGGATTATGCGCATAAACCGATCAAAGTTTATTGGGTAAATTACAATGGCCTCGAAGATTTTTGACAATGACAAGGACCTCCCATTGGGTTTCTAAAATTTCAGCTAAACAGTGTTAATAAATAACAACAATTGCGCTAATTCATTTTCACCCCACACATTAATATTATTCCGTAATAAGAAAAGAAAAGAAAAAGTTAAGTCCAATGTCATCTCTCTCCTTCTCTTTGCTCTTGCCCTTACTATATGATATACATCACAGCTCACCTCCACCTAATCATCCATCATCAAAGCTACCATCTTTTCAACTACCATCATCATGTCTCTCTAACTAATCATATTGTTCCATCCTGCCCGCACCTCAATGTGCACTAACCCACCATTGTTGCTGACAATTAGTAGCCATATGCTCATTACCATAACCACTAGATTCCCAGTAACTCCATCACCAATCTAGTCTTAACCACCACATATGTTACTGCTATAACCAAACCAAGTCAAGCCTTAAGTCCCATCAAATGGGATCGGTTACATGAATCCTTCTTCCGCACGCAGCCCTATCAAAGGCCATTTCATTAGTCAAATTAAGTAGATCCATATCTCTATTTACAATACTAACTAACGTTAATCTAGGCCTACCCCGTCCCCTACCACTTCCATCTACCGTTACAGCATCGCATCTCTTCACTACTGCTTCTGTTGGTTTTCGTTGAATATGACCAAACCATCTCAATCGATTCTCTCTCAACTTATCTTCTATCGGTGCTACTCCTACCCATTCCCGTATACACTCATTCTTAATTTTGTCTTGTCTTGTCTTGTCTAGTCTTGCTACACATCCACCTTAGCATTCTTGTCATCCCAATTGTTATCTTGTCACCTATAACTTTCACCGGTCCATTCAAAGCCCCCCAAGCCAAAAACATCACCACCCCATTAAATTATACCAAAGTTTTTAAAGGTGAATGCGTACCTCGAGGCGTTTTACCCTTATGAGGCGAGACGTAAGCCTCAGGGCGTTGAGGCATAAGCATTTCAAATTTTAAATTTTAATATTTAGTGAAAAAATTAAATATTTTAAAATAGTAAAAAAATAAAAATTAAATTAAATATAAAAGTGTAAATATTTTTCGCTTTAATGCGTTGAACATTTTACTGCATAGAAGGAAGTTTTCCTTCACTGAAAGTGAAATTGATATTCTTAACTTCAGTGATTGAGCTTCTTACTTGACCATTAACTGTATTTTTTCTTGATTGATCATTTACTTAATTTTTCTTGTAAAATATAGTTGCAAAAAGGGGATTTTTTTATTTTTTTATATTTAAACAATCCAATAGACTAAGTTTAACAAAAGCCCAAGGCAACCTTTGCATGTGCATACTCCTCACATGTTTATACGCAAAAAGCGTACAAAGTGCACCTAAGGCGCATGTCTCAAACTATGATGCGTAAGCCTTTGGGGAGTAATGCTTAAAAATCAAAGTCTTGATGCGTTTTACCTTAGCCTCAAGACGAGGCGAGCATCGAGGCGAGCCTCAGGAAAGCCTTTTAAAACTCTGAATTATACAACAAACCAAAAAAGGCGTCCATAGATTGGAGTTTCCAGTCCTCCAACCAATTTGTGGCGAAGGTTTGCATGTAAAAAAGCTATAATCAAAGGAAGACGGAAAAAAAAATGTGTACATAACAATTTTGTACCCGTCTTGAGCAAAACTTTCATCTCCAACTTCAGCATCAAGGCACTTTGGCTGTCCACCAGTAACATAAAGAGGATCGCCTGCTATGTGGAAAAGGGGCAAAGAATAACTGTCAAATGCTGACCACTGATGTTAAGTTAAAACAAAATTAAATCAAAATAGTAAATACATGTCAACTATTGAATTAGAAAAACAATTAATAAAACCAAAATATAAAGTAAAAAACTTATCAATTTGATACCCAATATAATAAATAAAAGGATAAATTACAAACACACCCCCTGAGATTTACTTAAATTATAAATTATCCCCTGTGATTTTAGGAATTACATTATGCCCCCCAACGTTTCTAATTTCATAACAAATAGGTCCTTTTATTAATAAATCATCAAGTTAATTAACAGTTTTTAACAATGTTAAAATTTTATTTCAATTAATAATTTAGATAATTTTATTATTGTATAGGTGAACAGTTATAAATTTCACTTTTTCAATTAATTCTGTTAAATAAAAAATTTTGACAAGGAGATATTTGTGATTTTCCAAACTACAGGGGCAATTCATATTTTAAGCAAAACCTCAGAGGGTATATTTGTAATTTACCCTAAATAAAATTGTTGGTTCAATCAGGATAGTAGATAAACCCATGCAATTGGATGGAAGAAGGAAACATTGGGGACATACCACTCCTAAGCTCATATCCTTCGGGTGATTTTACTATCTAAAGGATGAGATTCTGTACTTGGAAGAAAGGTACAGCAATTTAGAAATTAGTCTAAGAATAATATGACACATCTCAACTTGTTTTCTGATCAAATGCAAGTCTTGTGTCAGAATACAAGAATTGGCCATGCCTAGAGTATATGCTGCCGGGAAAAGGGAAAAAAGGAAAAAAAAAGAAGTTTATCTTGCTGTAAATCAATTTATGCATTTTAAGGCTTTATGAGGAGTGATTAGTCAAAGACCAATACAAATCTTGTTCAATTGTAAAAGCTTGTCCCACAACATAAAAGTTCGCCATGACTCTTGGTCTTGATATAAAAATAACTCATAAGAGAGAGACAATATCCTGTTGTAAATGGCTTCATGCAATGATTATAAAAATGGCAATCACTTCAACAAAAATTCAATGGAAAGTAACTCTCCTTAGTTGTAAATAGCTTCATGCAATGATTAAAAAAATGGCAATCACTTCAACAAAAATTACAATGGAAAGTAACTCTCCTTAGTTTTCCAGGTCTTGTGTTTTTCCAACAAATATACGTGGCCAACTCTTTTTCACAAGAAGGCACAAAACATTTTGCAATCTTAAAAAGGTCATAACTCAACTTGGACAAAATTAAATTCTAATTCAAAATAGAGATACCCAACATTGAAGTTTACCCATCAGAGGATGCCCAATAAAAGAAAGATGAATGCGAATTTGGTGCGGTCGTCCTGATTGAATCTCAACCTGTTAAACAAATCAGCAGAATATAATATTGTTCCTGCAGATTTTGGTTAATCCATTTAAATATGTAAATAAAAAAAAAAACAAGCTTTCTTATTACGCAACATAAGCAACTTATTTGAAGTAACAACATATTTTCTTCATCGTATTGCAAGAGTGGAATAAAGTTTTTTCAAAAGAGTGTAGACAGACCTTACCTAAACCTATGAAGCACACCAGAGCACACGTTTGACATTATTTAGTTGAGTGTCATTTTTCAGCCTCTAGACTAACCTTGTCAGGTATTGATTTCAATTATTACTAGCAAAGAAACTAATTTGAAGTGGCAACAAAGAGAATCTTAATACATGGATATAGGGCCTTGTGATTAATGTCTCAATGTCTTGTAATTTGTCATTACATTTTTTGACAAGTTAGAAAATAGAATGACAAAGTAAGGGGTGTTGGAATATGGAAATTTCATTTCTACAGGTTGATTGCACTCAGCAACACCTAATATATCACCCCAATTGTTTTATAATAAAAAGAAAGAGTACTAATAAAGTAGAAAAGTTAGATGGGATTCAACTTGCATTTGAAAGTTGTTATAAGGAGCCCTCCTTTTCTTTAAACCTTTTCATGAATTAATTTATCATGATGCAATCATGCAACATTGTGCAGTGTACTTATCCAACAGGAAAAATCAGTTATTGCTACTGAGGTGTTAGGTTAAGGAGTTATAAATAAATTGATCCCTCCATGATAATTAGAAACCTATTGGTACTCATCAAAAATAATAATTAGAATCCTATTAGTATGCATTTTAATGTCTGGAAACTTGAGTACCTCAACCAATGTGCAGTTCCCTTGTACATTTCTCTCAAGAACCTTAACCTTGCTCAAAGCCGGTTTCCCTTGAATAGAAGAAAAAAAGGAAGAAATTATGGGAACAATAATGTAAACAATATTGTCATGTAAAACTTAAGCACTACTGTGAGAACAAGATACATAAATTTTATGACACAAACTTGTAAGAACAATCATTAAGCACTACTGTGAGAGCTAAATATCCATATATAAAACATTTCATGGCAATGTTAACCAAAACACAAAAGTACATTAACATGACTAAACAATGACAATCATCCATCTGGAACACCATCTTAGCACCTATACAGAAAAATAATTATGGGATTACAATAAGGAACCTGAGGGAGAAGCAACATAAAGCCCTTTGGCCACCCCAGGATACTGCACCATCCCAATTGGCTGCTTGATGACAACCTATGATGCAAAATCTACTTTTAACTTGGGTTGAATATTTTGCATAACAAAAGCTACGAGTAGCCTATATGGAGATATTAGTATCAAGATGTATTGGAAATCATACAAGAAAACATGCTTGGTGATGGTATAAATTTACCCATTTTTGCAGGACAAAATACGATTTACAAATCAAAATCTGATGGGATATAAATTTTGGGGGAGGAAAAATCCATATAACTTGTACAACTAATTTGAATTGGCAATGGGGTAGCGTTTTGCCCGCCCTTGTTTAGTTTAACAATCTTTCTTGAATGAGCTAGAACAGAAAAGAAAATAAAAAGATTACACCTTGAAGACGATATTCATGTACCATGTTTTAATAGGAAAAGGAAGTTTTGCCTTTTCTGTAGTAAGAACTGTCTTACCATATTCTTAACTTCAGACAGTTAATTATGATCCATATTCTAGAAATCATGGGTTCAATCTTTGTTAAAATCCTTAATCCATTAAAGAACTTTCAAAGCCATAAACAAAACAAATGCATACCCCCATCCCCCACCAACCCAAGCCAAAAAATAGACCACCAACAAAATTGTTTTGAAAAAATAAATAAATAAACCCAAAGTTATCAGGTTGTACCACACCATCTCTTTTTAAGTTTTTAAAGCCAAATAATATTATCTTTCATGAATTTTTCAATATTTCCATATATCTTTATTAAAAGTTATGTTGGGTTTTTTAGGAACGATGGCTACTTCAAAGAGGGGTATCATATACTGTGCATTACCAATTTAAATGCATTATTGTTCTCTTCTGAAGCTCATCTTCCATATAATGAACTGACTGCACATCATCTTATTTTTTGGGGATCACACACTTTCACCACTTCTCAAACAAATTAATCAATATAACTATTGAAACTCTTCATATTAGCTTCCAATTGAACTATTTTTGTCTTTAAAAATGTAAGGATGCAGTCTGGACAATAAAAAAAAAATGAACCAATAAATGAAGGTCATATCTAGGAAAAAACTCCCCTGATAATGGGGGTATAAATTGTTTATCTATGCAGAACCTAGATAATAGGCAGCAGGATAAAAAAAAATCAAGGGCCCTAATTACAAATATAGACTACAACACCCAAAAGAAGAACATTGTTACCCAATGACATTACCTCATCCTCATCAAGTATCCCAGATGCTAATGCCCGGTAAATCTTTGAAATTTTCCTCTCTGTGCTGATCGCCACATTGGTATTACTATACAAGAAGGAGTGTATTTTTTAGCAAAGCATATTTTAACTACAGACCAAAACACAACAATGCAAGGAAACCCAAGGAAAGTCAACACAGAGCTATAACACACAAAACACCCCAAATATCACAATATCAACTCTTCCAACATCAGAAACGATTGAAACAAAATTGAGACACCTTGATGTTTAGATTATGTCCAATGCAGCGTGATTATCACCTAGTCGTCTGATAAAAACTGATCCAATCAGTTAAGACCTGAATTTCAAACAACTATTTTACGGCTGATCTAATCGAACTCACATTGAGCTAACACACACAATATTTTATACAGCAAGCTGTTTAACACAAACTATGGTTTGAATCTCCCTAAGCCCCTCCTGTTTGGGGACAACTGACAGAATAATAATGGAAGTTGCCTTGGGAACCAAGTCTGTGGGGGATGGAACTAATATATATAAATCAAGTTGCATGTATCATTTTCACACTTTGACTACCAAGATAGGGGTGTCTTCCAAAGTAGAAATTCTCTCTCTTCAAGGGAAGGTACATGCCAGTCCAGGTAACTAAGCCTAATAGTGGTTGGCAGTGATTCAGATAACGACATCTGTTGAACTGGTACTGGAATGTCCATGGCAACTGTCATATTTGTGGCAATTAAAGAGTTTTCCTCGATTGCTGACATCCATCCAATAAATTTGCAAATTTTGAAGAACCACACAATTGTCAATAGGAGTGCCTTTAATTTTGAAATTATCCTTGAAAAGCTACATAAGCCTTAGCAGCATGCTCACTGATTCTTTTATTCAGTTCCTGAGATCCTTTCTTCTTTCTTAAAGGAAAAGTATATTCTTTCTTCCCTTACCTGTTGTCCCTAACAACAGATGTCCCATCAGAAAAATATGCAGAAAGGCAAGTTTTGGCGAGTTTTGTCTTTGCACAAAGTAATATACCTACACACAGAAAAAGTAAGATTGTAATTCATATATAATTATGAGAGTATAAACAGAATTTGTTTAATAACTTCTCAATGAGTTAACCACTAGAAAAATTTATAACTGTATAGTGGAAGTGGACAAGGAATCAGAAACAACGGATCAAATGATGTTTCTGCGTTATATAGCATAGCAACAAAGTAACTGACACCATCTATTGTGCACTATGAAGAATAGGTACGGGTACGAGTACTGGTACTGGTACGATACGGGTATGTTAATACGGCAAAATTCAAAAAAAAAATAGGGTACGGGTACGGCTTGGTACGCTTGTAAAAAAATATTTATTTTTAATTTAGAGTAATGCAAAAATTAATTAAATGGTTTAATTTGTTAAGGTCCAACCTATAATTAACATTTAATGCCAAAAGGAAAAGTATAAATCAAAATTAAATGTCAATATATTAAATAACTTACAAACCATAGTTTAATTTTAAAATTATGCTAAGCATAAAACAAAAATTAAAAAAGAAATATAGTGAAATGAGTTTTATCTTTGTAGTAGAAGGAAAATATTAGGTACGTCTGGGTACATCAAAAATTAAGAAGAAAAAACTTGAGTACATATTTCGTGTACCCGGTACGTATGCAGAAGTACCATACGAGGTACAGTATGCCGGTAAGTACCTGGTACGGGTACGGCATGTTTTTCAAAGTATCCATGCTTCATAGATTGTGCATTACTGTCTTACTACAACATTTGCCCGCCTTACCATGTTATTGTGAATTGGGTCTTATCTCAAACCATGAGATTGTGAACCCAACTAATACTCTACTTTTCCTTCTGTCAATTATTTTTTTTAACACGTCTCTCCAGATATGAGATGTAAACTGACTTAAGTCTATAGATTTGACAAGTCAGTGGGCTCCAAAACATACTTTCCCTCCATTTCTAGACTTGCTAAGGATTTAGTGTATTAAACCAAATTTTGACATACACTATTTTAAGGAACAATTTCTAAGAATATAAAAATTTGTTCATTCTATTGGGCAACAATACTTAATGCACCCATAAATGCTAACCTGATGTGCCTCTTCCCAGCCGATGAACAGGAGCAGGATGCAGTTCTTGGCATGCTAATGAGGAGTGCTGTTTGCTTGCTCGCCATTGGAGTTGTGTCAAAACAGTCCGATGCTGGAATAATCCTCCAGGTAGAACTTGCAGACCAGAAGGCTTATTTATGGCAATCTGAATATATTAAACAATAATCAACCTGAACCAATAACTAAATGACAAAAAATATTAATTGAACAAAAAATTATATTTGGAATGGTCCCATCTCCACTCCAATTTCGCTGTATTAACTCAATCCTTTGTCTATACAGTATGACGGAGATGAAGCGAAAAGTGGAGGTACAATAAGGCTTCCTGTACATAAGCTGCAATGCATACATTCTCCAACTTGAATTATAACCAAAAAAATATTAACAATGCCAAATCAATTTTATATTATATTATATATTTATTTTTATAAGACTAATAATGCCAGATCATAAGACGTCAGAAAATCAGCATATAACAATAACAAACGATGCCCATTTTGAGACATCTACTGTACTATAAGCTTAAGAAAAGATGCCATTTTTGTAAGTCTATGAATATTGATGAAAAAAACAAAGCAGTCACAGAGAGTATAACTTGTACAAGGCAGAATACAACAATTTCAATTATTTAAAACATTAAACAAATAAATATAAATGATTGCAACTCATTTACCAAATCATCATCTTCAAACAACACTTCCAACAAGTATGGCGCATCAGGTTCCTTCCATGGAAGTCGGTGATAGACTAGTTCTGAACCAACTCTATAAATTCAATCCATCAAGAAATAACATCAAAATCCATGGTTGAACCAACACCAATAACATTATGAAAACAAAATACTATTGACTTAATACCCAAGAATCGTGTTTGGATCCGTGACAACACTACCAGCAATGGTTACCTACAAACACACAACACATGACTCTGAGAACAACCAGACCACACAATCTCATTGAAATTGGAACTATCTCAACATCGTTTGAGAAACAAACCTGTCCATTGCAAATTCTCTGCAACCAACTGTTCAATAATCAGTGCCCAAACCCAAACAAGATTATTCAAATGAAATGCCCTAAGAACATCTCCAATCCTTCATCAAATTCAAATTTGATGAAAAAATGGCTAAAAATTTGCTCCAACCATTTCATCAAATCTGTATCAAATCAAGGAGAGGCAATTTTTCCACCAAATCAAGGACGAATCAAATCCTTCACCAAATTTCCAACAGTCATATTTTCTTGTTGGGTAATGCTATGGTACGCACCCTCAAAAGGGTGTGTAATATATTGAAGTTATGACATTCGTAGGGTTGATCACCACAAATGTCATAACTAAAAAAAAAATTATAACCAAAAACCACATAAGTATAAGTAACTAAAGAGTTTTTGGATTATAATCAAAATAACCAACACACACTGCAATGTGTAAAATCAAGTCGTAACTAACATCCCAATAGGTCAAAGCCAAAGACCTCAGCATATGGCACACACCCCAAACAAAGAATTACCCTTTTGTTTTAATCAACAATGGTTAAAACAGATTTTTAGAATAAGTTTGGAATTTTCCAAAAAGATTTGATGAAGAGAGAGAGAGTAAGGATTGAAGTGTTCCAATACTTTCAACCAATTTTTCACCTAAATTTGACCCAAAAAAATAGTAAGAATTGGAGATGCTTCAACTAGAGACTTATAGTACTAACTATAATTTGTAAACCTAGCTTGATTTTCTTTTCGTTTTTTTCTGGACAACCAAACAGAAATAAAATGCTCACCCTTGCAAGGGAGCAGAATTCACGTGCTTAGTGGTGTAAAACTCGATCACTGTCAAACCTGCAAAGTTAAACACACGTCCATAAGTGTCTACACTATACTGTAGATATACATACATTCAGGAATACATATATTAGAGAGAGAGAGAGAGAGAGAGAGGACCAGAGTCGGAGGGTTTGAGGGTGTCGCGGTAGATTAAGCCGTCGTTGAATTCCGGCCAGGGCTCACCGAACGTGCGAGTTGGTGGTGGTGGTGGTGGAGCATCACCGTCCTCTGCCGTGTTGGACATATCCACGGTTGCGTTGCGTCCTAGACGGAAGCGAATCGCGATAATGTTGACGGAAGACGACTTCAAATTCATATCAATTCAATCGAAGAAAAGAACAAAAAAAAAACATTATTCATCATTTTTATTCATCAACGAAAAAAAAAAGGGCAAATTACATATACCCCTCGAGGTTTGGCTAAATTACAGATATCTCTGAGGTTTCGGCATTTTTATTCCACAAAGAAAAAAAAAAATAATTGGAAAAATTATATATAAAACTATTGATATTTTGGATTGGGTTAAACCTAAATGGAGCATGTGAAGAACGACTTTAGGCCCTCTTTGTCTGGGGTTATAGGTAGAAGATCGGGTTTAGCAGTAAGGAGAGAATTGAAAATGGGGTGTTTGTTTTGAGAGATAGGGAGGAGATTAGTAATTTCTTGGTATTAGTAAGGAGGAGGAAGAGAGATTGGTAAGGAGGAGGTAGAGATGGTATTAGAAAAATAGTGAGGGGATTAGAAATTTTTTTATTTTTTTTGTATTGGGAATTTTTTTTTAAATATAATGTTTAATTTTTTTTATTTTTTTATTATTTTATATAAAAATAATTTAACAATTTCTCATTATTAATCCTCTCACTATCAATCCCCTCACTATCAATTCTCTCACTAACAATTCCTTCACTATTAATCCCCTCACTATGAATCCCCTTCATTCTATCTCTGAAAACAAACCCATTTGTTTTGGGTTACGTAGATGGAAGGGGATTAGGATGGTGGAGGTATTATTTAGTATTGTGTATGTTTGTAGAGTTGGGGAGGGCTTTAGGATGGTGGAGGTGATATAGATGGAGGTTGGGGAGGGGATTGAGATAGAGGTTGTGGGAGATGATATTAGAAAAATAGTGAGAGGATTAGAAATTTTTTTATTTTTTTATATTGAGAATTTTTTTATAAATATTAATGTTTAATTTTTTATATTTTTTTATTTGTTTTATTATTTTATATAAAAATAATTTAACAATTCTTACACTAACAACTATCATTAAAACAAACACAATTTTACTTAATCCCCTCACTATCAATCCCTCACTAACAATCCCCTCACTATTAATCCCCTCCATTCTACCTCTGAAAACAAACGGGACCTTAGTTATTAAAGAGTAATTTTAACCTTTGAATAAAGATTGAGAGTTAATTTTGGACTTTTAAGCCGGCTCTAGTGATGTGATATATGTGATGTGATGTGATGTGTGTTTATATATATATATTTTTTCTTATTACATCATTATAGCTTTTTTTAGAGTTTTATAATTAGAACTTTCTATCATTGTTGTTTAAAATATATAGATAAAAAAAAATAAAATACTTAGGTCCTTCAAAGTTGCGGACTTCCGTGACCCTCAAAATGACGTGGATCAATTATGTGTTTTTGTTTTGTTTTTTTTGTTTTTTTTTTCTTTCTTTCCTAGACTAATTACAAGTGAGTAAGAAATGTGGGATTTGTATTTTTTTTTTTTTTTTTTTTTTTTTTTTTTGAAGATTTGTAGCATTTTTGAAAAAGAATTAAGCAAAATACATAATATACTCTTGCGCTCAGTCCAACCGTCCAATTTTGAAAGTCCACTACGTCTATAAGAATATACTTTTGAAAAATGACCAAGCTATTCATTCTTCCCGTTGTGAAGTCAGACTTTATACAACAATCTATTAAAATCCATTTCTCAAAACTCATTCTCTATCTCTCCATCTCTCTCTCTCTCTTTTACTCGATCTATCAAACGAAGGTTTTTTTTTTCAGATCTTCATCATCTTCTCCCCCCTTCTCCACTGCCAGTGCCACTCATTTCACTCTTCTCGCCCTCCTCTCCGTCACCAAAATTCCAACTGAACCCATGCTATCATTGTCCGAATCGTTGTTGGAACCAGACTGATCGAGTAGCTTCCGCCAGTCTAGATTGGTGACTGATCAATTGAGATAAAAAACATATGTTAAAAAAAATCAGCAATGATAGGGACCCCCTTTGTGGAGGACCCCACAACCCCCTTTGTGATCCACACCATTCATGATGTGGACCCCACACATCATGAATGGTGTAGATTAGTGAGGGAGTTGTGGGGGTCCTCCACAAAAGGGGGTCTAACTCATTTTTCAAAAAAAATATGTTTGAACATCTAGTCAAAAAAATATATTTGAACAGATTAGGAAAAGTACATTAAAAAAATTCAACAGATAAGAAAATATTTAAACAAACAGTCAAAAAAATTAAACAGATAAAAAATATTTGAACAGATAGTCAAAAATTTTAAACAGATAAAAAAAATATTTGAACAGATAGTTAAAAAAATTAAACAAATAAAAAATTTGAATAGATAAACAGATAGACAAAAAAATTAAACAGATAAACAGATAGATTAAATGGTAAAATCAGAAATAAAATGTCTTCCAAAATAACAAAATGTACTTTCCACCACAATATTTCACAAAGTGTGAATTTTTCACTAACAAAAAATAATCTATTGAACCTAATGCCTTATGCAATTGGTAGATTGAATTTATCAACAATTTTCTCTTTACTTTTTTTGTATTTTAATTAGTGAAAAATTAATAGTACACTTAGAATTGCTCTTACTGTGGGAAAATTATATGGTGGTCTTAGGTTTTTGCATGGTGCCTCAACTTGAGTTTATTGTTTTTTTTGCCTTAACTTGAGTTTATTGTTTTTTTTTTTTTTTTTTTAAGATAATATGATCAGTGTCATACAATGAATAGTATGAAATAATACTCTAAAACTACAATTTTTTAATTTAGATAAAAAAAATAAAATGAGGTAAAACTCAATTTGATATAAAATTGTGTTACACGTAGAGAAGGTTTTGAATGATTTTTTACTCAAATTTAATTTTATATAGATTTGAGTTAACAGTGAGAGATTTGGCTTTTTGATTAGGATGTGCCCCTTAAATTGAAATTATTGAGTGTGTAAACATTCAAGCAACAAAACAATTCAACCTATTATGTATTATTTTTATGTTTTTTGGGGTGAACAAAGGGCCGCAGCCAAAACAAAAGCAAGAAAAAAAAAAGAAAAAGAAACAAGACTATAGCCGAACGACCCTGAAGGAACCAACCTCCTGCAAATCAAAAGCCAAAGCTAAAGCCAATGAAGGAGGCTCCACAAACAAAATCTCAGATTACGTAGCCATGCCAAGAGCTTCTTTAGCAAGAATGTCTGCACACCCATTAGCCTCGCGCTAAATTAATTGAACATCACATTCTCAATCCTGATGTAACAGGTCCCACAACTCTTGACAGATATTGAATTGAGAATGCAAAGAAGTTGGCTTCTGAATGGCTTGAAAAGCCTCAGCCGAATCAGTTTCAAGAATCACTCGGCGATGCCCGTGCATCCAGGCAAGCTGTAACCCCTTCCAAATACCCCAAAGCTCAGCAACAAGAATTGAGGAGGAGCCAACCTGATGCTTGAACCCACTGAGCCATTTACCTTGAGCGAAACGGATGAGACCACCACAAGCGGCTTGCCCAGATCGCTTGGCCACAGCACCATCAACATTAATTTTTACCCAGTCAGTCATAACTTAAGGCGTTGCCAAGCAATAAGAATGGAGGTCATGTTTGAACCCCTGATTAGACTATCCTTCAAGGTCGTGAATTCATGAGCTCTAGCCTTAATGAATGCCACCGGTTGAAAAGGTTCTGTAAAATCTGAGTCATGAACTTGTTGATTTCGCCAAAACCAGAAAGAAGATATGGCGACCATAAATAAAAAGGGCCAAGATTCAGAGCTGGAGTTCCATGGAGGAGTTCTCAAATTCTGATCTACCCACTGGGTTAAAGGTAATGAGAAAAAGGCTATCCAATGAGAGAGAGGAATAATCTCTTACCATATACGTCTAGCTCGAGTGCAGTCACGCATAGCATGAAGCGTCGATTCATTATGGTGGAGACATAGAGAGCATGATGAATCTGGTGCAAGTTGCCGCTGATATTTTAAAGAATTAGACAACAAACGGTCACTACGGGCCAACCACGTGAAATATTTCCATCGATTAGGACCTCGAGCCCTCCAAATTAATCTCCAATCCTCAAAATCTGCCTCAACATGACCATCTTGTTGCCTATAGGGATGGCAATTTGAAACCGGCCCGATGGGGACCCGACCCCCCGATCTCAAATTGTGCGGGTTTTTCCCGAAAAATACCCCCGATGGGACGGGGATGGTATTTAAAAATCAATCCCCGAACAGATTCGGGTCGGGGACGGGGATAAGTGTCCCAGCCCCGTACCCGGCCCGGCCCCGTCCCCGTTCCCCGGCCCAGTTTGTCCCTGAAAGGAAATTACTAATTTACCCCTAGATATATATATACACACACATAGTAACTAAACCAAACCTCCTCTCCAGTTCTGTGTCACGTTTCTCTCTCTTCCCTCTACTCTCTCTCTCTCACTCTCGCTCGTCGATCATCACTGTCCACGACGCCGGAGGAGTCCTCCGTCGTCCATCGCCATTGTCGCGACGCAGTCACAGCCACAGCCACCCATCGCAACGCCGATGATGCTCTCAGATCGTCCATCGCTACCGATCGTCCTCCTCCATGAACTCCACCAGATCTGTGTTAATGATGCACAGTCCAACTATTAGACATGGGAGTAAAATATTTCTGTGTTGATGATGCACAGACTAAGTATTTCTTCTATAAATATATGCACATTAAATTTATCAAAAAATAAATAAAAATAAATATATGCACTTTAAACTAATCTCCACCATTTAAGTTCTTGGCAAATAAAAGGCACATCTGACACCAAAGCAGGTCTGAAGTGTTGGCATATACTCTAAAATCTAAACTCTATGTGCTTTGGAAAACAGTTTTCTTCACCAATTGTTTCTCTCTGCAGATGTATACATATATGTGTAGTACTATTTCTCACCATTTAGTTTTCTCTCTTTAGATCTATATGCATACAGAATGACCTCTCTCTCTCTCTGGGATTTCACTTGCCTATTTCTGCCATCAATTTTGGCCGGGGAATTTTCGGGGTCGGGGAAACCCGATCCCTGATCGGGGGCGGGGGTGGGGAGAGTGATAGGTTCCCCGTCGGGGATCGGGGCCGAGGACGGGGCCATGT